TATGAGTTCATTGAAGGCATTTATCTCTGTTACTGTGTTTTTCTTTTTCTAGCATTTCCACTGACTTTCCTAAAATTCCTAGTCTAGAAGACAACATCTCTGAGTCTGCTTCTATTGATTGTCTTTTCTCTTTGCAGTAGGTTCAAGTTCCTCTAATGCAAGACTTCTCAATCTCAATGCTGTTGGTATTTTGGACCAAATACTTCTCTGTTTGGGGGGAGCTGTCCTATTCACTGTTGGATATTTAGCAGCATCTCTGATCTCTACCCACTGGATGCCAGTTACATCCCCTAGTTGTGATGATCATAAATGTCTCCAGATACTGCAAAATGTCCCTAGGAACTTGGGGGGACAAAATTGCCACCAGTTGGGAATCATTGCTCTCCTATCACCTTGTGCTCGGCTGGGTGCTGTGGTGTTGCGTGCTTTCCTTGATGCTGCTCTGTCACCCCAGCTTTTGGCTTTCCCTGTATGCCCTCCCCCCACCCCCAGTAGTTGGGAGCGGTAGCTTGTAACTCAGTGCTGGCCCGCGTGCTGAAGGGTGGTCTGTCACCCTGGAGCCAGTCCTACATAGGCCCTGTGCACCTGGGTTTTATCCTTCCTGCCCATTGCAGGGACCTTAGCCTCATGTCTGGAATGGGTCTGTCTCCCATCTCCAAGGGCAGGAGGCCTCAGCAGTCTCCATGTAGGATCCTGCCCTCCCCAGGAGCAGAGGGTTTTCACCCATGCCCCTGGCACAGGGTTTGCTTCCCCCCACTGGCCACTGAAGGCTTTTGTTCATTAAGGGAGAAGGGTCCTATGGGCTTCACTCCAAGGAGGCTCCTCCTGGTCTGTGCCCACCCCCACTTGTAAGCACCTGTGGGGACCAAGGAGAAGCCATGGTGGCACATGGGTTCCCTGGTTGAGCCTTTGCAGCCCACACCTGGCCTCTGACCACCCAGCAAGACTGCGGTCCTCCCTGCACGGGTCGTGCCCTGTGGTGCCCCTCCTTCTGTACCCTGCCATCCTGGGGAGATACCTGCTGAGGGCAGGCCATGCGCAGTTGGCTGGAAGTCTCCTTTCCCTGTGTTGCTTCTCATTGAACTACAAAAAAGTGTGTTTTGTATCTGTTTTGAGACTCCGTGTGCTACCCCCAGAACGAACACAGCCCTGACTTCTGACCACAGAGATGGCCATCGCCAGCTTTGCCCTCGTGTCTGTGGGGCGATGTGGGGGGTGCTGTGTCTGCTTCTCAGGACCCTGGCGTGTCCATTTGATGCTGACTCTTCACTCTGCCTCTCCCAGTTGTCCCTCCTGAGGCTACCACTTTGACCTCTTCTAATTTTTTCTTCTAGTATTTTCCTTCATGTTTTAGAATAGCATCTTTCTGCTGTTATTGAGTGTCCATGTTGAGATGACATCCAATGTTTTCTCTGGGAAGGTGACCTTTGCCTTCCTGTTCCACTTCTCTCTTCTTCTGTCACCCTGCTACAGCTCTGCCATTGTTTGGTTGGGCAGTGTCCACTGTTCTCGTAACGTGTGATGGGAGTGTTCACAGCTGGCCACGTTGTATGCCATGACTGTGTCTCCTTTCGTGAACAACTTCTTTTTTCTATGTACTTGTTATAAACCCATTCCCCACCTAATGGGATTGCACATTTTTGTAGGTATTTTTAGACACATCAAGTTCTTTCTTGCTGGATCACATCTCTCTTATTTACTCTTGTCTCGGTGGTGCATAACCTTCAGTCCCTTCTTTAGAAAGGTTGCTTGGGAGATGACTCTTCTGAGACTTTGTGTTTTGAACATGTCCCATCCGATCTAAGTGACACTGTAGCCTCCTGTCCTGACCCAGAGCTGACAGTCCCTCGTGCCTTTGAGGATGTTAACGACAGTGTTTCCCACTCAGTCTTCTCCCTCTGTACCATCTGGCTCCTTGGAGCTCTTCTGATTTTGGCTGGTTGGCTTTAGTCTCTGTCTTTCATGTGAGCCGACCACATGCATGCATAGTGCCAGATAATGTGACCTCAGCGAGGAGACCTGGCTGCTGGGCATGTTGGCCCTCAGCATGTCCCAGTGTCACTGACTTTCTCTGCATCTGGCTGCACTTGCATGTGCAATTTGGTGCAGAGAGGATGTTGCCGGGCAGGAATTAAGGGCCCTCATCTGTGGACCTGACATGCGCTGCTGTTGAAACATGCTTGGGTGTGCAACAGGGTGGCCAGATGAGTCACAGGTGAGCCATAGGGGTTCATGACTGAGCCTGGATCTGGTCTGGACCCCACTGCTGGCTTTCGGGAATTGGGATAATAAAGGACCACATTAAATGAAAACTTGCTGGTGTAACTAGCCAAGTCAGAAGAGAGAAATTCTACGACATAAACTATCCAGTTTCTTCAACTAATGAGTGGCAGGAAAGGGAAAAAAGGAGAGGGCACACCTGCAGATGACAAGAGACAAGAGACCCCTTACTAAGACAGCAGAGCACCAGCCTTCGCCTGTGCTGACATGATTGTGAAGGAAAAACCGGAACAAGAAAGGCGCCCATAAGGGGAGGTGTAAATACTCCTATGTAGTATATTATGGAAACCGTGAATACTTTACTGAGCAAGATGGAAAGCAGCTGCATCAGCAGGCACCAACTGGGCAAACAGAGATAACTCAAGCCTGCTGGTCTCCTGGGGGACCCGGCCAGCAGAACCCAGGAAAGGCTGAAGCTAGCCCTGGAGCAAGGGGTGGGATGGGTTTAAATAAGAGCAGTGGATGAATTAGGCCCAGACTTGTCCTAGTGTGCCAGGGCCCCCCAGCCCAGGTGGGCATTCACTGTCTGCAAAGGTGGATGCTCAGAGACCCCACCCTCCACACAAGCCCAACACTACAGAGGTTTCCTATCAGCTTTTTAGTGTCTTGCTCTTTTATTAAATATTCCATTAAGAAAAGTTTCAAAAACAGACAAGAGTAAAATGAACCCCCATGTGCCCAAATCTAATTTCAAAAATTACCAACATCCTCTGTTCTCATCTGAGCCATCCCCCGTGACCTTTTTGCTTGGTAAAAATGGAATGGAGTAGTTATGGGTGAAATCATATCATTTTACCCATAAATAATTCAGCATGTGTTGCTAATGAATCATATTTAACATAACCGTGAAACCGTTGTCATACCCAACAAAAGGTGGAGTACTTCCTCAGAACCACCTGGTGCCCAAGGTGCAGGAGGTCTCCTGCCCACCCCCCACCCCACAGTAACCTCACAGGGACCGTCCTTGATGCCTGTGTATTGCGCAGTGCCCAATATGATGCAATGCCTGTTTATTATTTTTTTCCTTTGGAATTCTTTTCAATGGAATCCTAACTGGATTCCATTGTCACTCATTTGACATAGTTTTTCCGAAACATCAACTTCCTTGTATTCTCCTGCCGTTCTGCCTGGATCCCCTAATCCCTCTTCTCTGTTCCCATCTTACAGAAAGCTGAGGCAAAATTATACACCTTTATCGTTTTTTATGATGATATAAATAATGCACTCTGATGGTAAAACAAATCAGACATTATGTACGTGCACAGGGAAAAGAGTATAAATGACTTCTTATTCCAAAATTGAGGTTATTAATATTTATGTATGTCCTTCCAGATGTTCCTATGTATATACCAAATCTGATTTAAAACAAAGGAACCCAAAAAAACTTGTTTTCTCCCTTAATATGTTACATTTTTCCAAATTAATAGCGATGGATGATCTGCATGCTTGGGACTTGGTCACGAGTTCACAGCAGAATCATTTGGTGGTGGTAGGTGGGGGCTTTCTCAGGCTATACATGCCCTGGTTCTACCCCTTTCAATTTTCATTCCATAAATATGGAGTGATGCCCAGACTGTCTTAAAAAAACCTCCTTTATGATCCTGTTTGGGTCTTGGTTTGACAGTCAGATCATTTACGCCACCCAGGCCTGTCCCACAGCCCCTTCTCTGTGGATGGACTTGTTGATTGTTTATGCTGTTCCATTGTTGCGAATGCTGTGTCCTTCTAGATACATCTTTGTGCATGTGTTCAATGATAACTTTTGCTAGAGTCTTAAAAGCAGAACATGTATTTGTAAGGCTTTTTGATTCATATTTCCAAATCGCTTGCCAGAAAGTTTGGACAGAACTTTGAATCAATTTCTGCAGACTCTGTGGGCACTGGCCTGCTCTTGCAGTGCCAGCTGAGAGAGATGGTACCAGGCAGGATGGGAGAATGTCAGTAGCTTTTTATGTTGCATTTCTTTGCTTACCAGGAAATTTGAACATTTTATCATTTGGGTGGGGGTGGGGGGATTTATAATTCTTCTAATTGCCACTCATGTCTTTGCTTATTTTCCTGTTGGGCTATTTTTTGTTTTCTTATTGGCTGTCAGAGAGCTTCACATAGCAAACCAGTAATCCTATATGTTCAGTGCATCACAGAGCCCAGTAGCATCTTGGGTGTCTTCACCCCAGGGCAGCCTCTGTGCTTCTGCCTCAGTGAACATCCTCCAGGCCTGATCCTGTCGTAACCCTCTGGTGACCCATGTCCCTCGGGCAGAGCTGGGAGGCTCTGTGTCTCTCTGCTTCATGCATCTCAACTGTGACTCCTGTGTGCAGCATGCTCTGGCCGTCCTGGGACTATTGGGGGGTCCCACAGATTCACTAGACCATTCCCTGCTGCTGGCCTCTGATGGTCTGGGTTGTCCTGCCCAGTGTATGTCTATTTTTCTTTGATACCTAGCCCAGATCCCCCTCTCACCCTGATGTTTTCCATGACTCCTCTTGAGTTAAGTACCTGGTCCCCAACAAGTGCAATGTGCGCAGGCTATGCAGAGGACAGTGGCCTCCTTCTCTGGGTTCCCAGCCCGCTCATGGTGCTGCAGGTATGTGGCAGCTGCCTGGTTCGTGCTCGCTGCTTATCTGGTCAGCTTGCAACTGCTGAGCACCTTCCCGGGCCTGGTGGGTGGGAATGCCGGTCCCTCATAGCTCTGTCACTGACCCCGATCTTGTCTGCAGCTGGGCCGGTGCACAAACAGCGTGGTCAAGTATGAGCTGATGCGCCCATCCAACAAGGCACCGCTCCTGGTGCTGTGTGAAGACCACCGGGGCCGCATGGTGAAGCACCAGTGTTGTCCTGGCTGTGGCTACTTCTGCACGGCGGTAAGAACCCTGCCTGGGTAAAGGCCTCACATGTCCTATGCAGAGCCTACCGTCTCATCATCACACTTGCTCCTGTCTGGTGTTCACCCTGCTGCAGGGTGGTCTCCCACTGGCAAGCACACGGCAGACGTATCCAGGCAGCTTGTCCCGGGTCTGGGGCCCACCTTGAGATCTCCAGTGCTTCACAAGCCCTTTACCACAGCTCTTGAGCTTTCTTGCCTTAGACGAAACCCCCATTTTGCCCTCCACCCCCCAGTTTCCCTTTATCCTACCTGTGCCTCCAGCCTTTCAGATGCAGCTGGGATTGTGTGACCCGAGCATGCTTGGCACCCTCCTCGTGGGCTGTGAACCTCCTGTCTCAGTAGGGAGCATACTTCTGAGGAGGGGCATGTCTGCAACTCTCATCTGTGTCTTCCAGGATCTTATATCATTAGTTACTTCATTCATCAAGCATCTGCGTTCACCAGTGCCTAGGGGCCTGCCAAGAATGGGCTTCTTCCCTGTGGGCACACTTGTGGGAGTGCCCACGTTGGGAGCATCCATGCATGCGAGTGTGCACATATTATGGGTGTCCTTTTGTGGGAGCATGTGTGTCCGCATGTGAGACCATCCATGTATGGGACTGTCTGCATAGGGGAGCGTCCTCATGTGGACAGCTCTGCCTGTGTGGGTGTCCACGTGTGAATGCGTGTGCAAGTGTCCACATGTATGGGCGTCTGCATGTGCGAGCGTCCGCATGTGGGAGTATCCACACGTGGGACTGTCTGCATGTGGGAGCATCCGCCTGTGTAGGTGTCCACATGTGAGAGCATTCCTGTGTGCAAGTGTCCACATGTTTTGGTGCCCGGATGTGGGAGCGTCTGCAGGTGTGGGTGTCCGTGTGTGAGAACATCCATGTGTGCGAGTGTCTGCGTGTTGTGGGCGAGTGCATGTGAAAGTGTCCATATGTATGGGTGCCTGCGTGTGGGAATGTCCATGAGTGCAAGTGTCTGTGTGTGCCTGTGTCCACATGTATGGGTGTCTGCGTGTGAGAGCATGCATGTCTGCATGTGGGAGCGTCCCTATGTTGGAGGGTCCATTCGTATGGGTGTCCACGTGTAGGAGCATCCATGCGTGTGAGTGTCTGCGTGTGCAAGTGTCTGCAGGTATGGGTGTCCACGTGTGGGAGCGTCTGTGTGTGCGCCTGGGGGGTGCCTGCAGTTTACCTTTGCCTGCAGCTTCAGGCACCCCAGACTCCCACAGCCCCTCTGTGGACCTGGGCAGGAGCTTGCACCCTTTCACACCTCGTGCACCCTCCCCTGTCTTGACACATCCTTTTTTTGCTTCTGCTGAGAGAGAGAGGATTTGCTCCTCCACATCCGTTTACCGCTGGCTTTCTGCAAGAGCGTGCTGTTCTTACTGCTGCTCGTGCCAGAGTGATGTGTGGTGATCCCTGCAGAGCGTTGCTATCTCCGTCCTCGACATTCTGACCTGAGACCTGTTGCTCTGTCAGCCCTTTTCAGTATGGACCTTTTCTGGGGTCCTATTTTGGGCCTTGTCATCTTGTGCACCTTCCTGCTCTGTGGGAGCGGCTGGAGTGGGGACGGTCAGATGGTGTCTGCCCAGCTTTGGCTTTCTCTCTCTGAGATATAGGTGTGGGTGTGAGCTCGTTGTAGGAAGAGCCCTTCTTCCTGCTCACCCGGGTGGTGGCTGGGGAGCCCAGACTAGATGTGCCCCCACCCCGGCCCCTGGCTTCACTCGCTCACGCTGCCCAATGCGAGATGAGGCGCTGGTTTAGCCCCCGTTTTTTTAAAAGTGATTTTTCATCTTCCCATTTCCAGGGTAATTTTATGGAATGTCAGCCTGAGAGCAGCATCTCTCACCGTTTCCACAAAGACTGTGCCTCTCGAGTCAATAACGCCAGCTATTGTCCCCACTGCGGGGAGGAGACCTCCAAGGCCAAAGAGGTGACAATAGCAAAAGCAGACACCACCTCCATGGTGACACTGGCCCCCGGGCAGGAGAAGAGCTCAGCCGTGGAGGGCAGGGCCGACACCACTACGGGCAGGTACTTGGTGGAGGGGCTCTGGCCCAGCTTTCCACATAGTTCCCCTGAAACGTGTCAGTCTTTAACTATTGTAGATCTCCGCTGTTCTGTCCAGAAGTCTCTTGGCCGACTCTGATACTCCTTTTGGTTTCTGACATTTAAGATGTACTGAAATCCATTTGTTGCCATTTGTGTGTGAGTCTCTTTCTGTTTGGTTTTGTAGATTTATTTGCCTATTTTTGAACCAGTTTTCACACTACCCTAGTTAATGTAGCTTTGTAGTATTTTTGTTGCTAGCGCAGTCCTCTGTAGGTAGCTGTTTGACACCTGAAATGGTGTCAGCTGCCTGCAGTCTGCTGTTACTCTGCTACTCAGCATTAAGGTTTGAAGGCCCTAGCCAAAGACAAGAAAAAATAATCTAGAAGAGTTAGACGTATTCATATTAGACGCATATGGTTGTCTTCTTAAAAGAATCCAGTAGAAACAGCTGAAAAAATTTTCAGGACTAAATGGAGTCAGTAAGAGGATCAGATAACCGAGCTAGCAGAAGTCAGTTGCCTTGTTCCCTGCCAGCAATGTCCTGCCAGAAAACAGGATAAGAGATCCTTTCAAACAGCAGCAAAACCCAACAACTACCCAGCAGAAAAAGAGAAAAAAGAGCTTAATAAGTATCACACTGATTTAGAGAAAACCAAAACTTCATGGAACGTTGTTTAAAAGAGACCCAAGTTGTGGACAAAAGTAAATAATGGAAATGTGTCCATTCCTTCATATTAATCTGTAAATTTAATGCAGTTTGAACCGAAATTTTAATGGGATTCCCTCTTATTGGGGAGGGCAGTGGACTTGATAGAGTCAACCTGAAGCTCGTTCATAAAAGCAGATTTGAACATGTGGCCCGGAAGTACTGGAAAAGTTGCCCTAGTTTTTGAAAATCATGTTTCTCAGGGAATTTGATTCTGAATCCTGGACCATTTTTGTCACCCAGAAGCTAAACAGGTAGTGAATTTGTAGTTGTTTCACTCAGAAAAGGACTGCCCTTGGATAGGCTGGAGAAAACCATGTTTAAGTTTTCATTGGTGTCCATAAGAATGGAATTTTTTCAAATACTAAAACTAAGCATTTCGATGATTTTCTCCCCCGAAGTGCTGCTGGACCACTGCTCTCAGAGGATGACAAGCCACAGAGCGCAGCTCCCCAGGTGCTGGAGGGCTTCGATCCTGCGGGGCCAGCTGGGCTCGTGAGGCCAACTTCTGGCCTCTCCCAGACACCAGGGAAGGAGACCTTGGAGAGTGCACTAGTTGCTCTGGACTCGGAAAAGTAAGGACCAGCTGCGCCTTTGGAGATGGCTTGGCCTCGTGTCAATCTGCACCCCGTGTTTTGCCCATTGGGTCGCCGTGGTAATGCTTCTCAGCTTTTTGACTAACACTGTTCATCAGAATAATGCATATATTTTTACACTTTTTGGGGGAATTATTGCAAGTCATTGTCCTCTTCATTATGCTGAGAACAAAAAGCGACACCTTTGAAGTCCTAAATGAGGACAGTCCTGGTGAGCTTTTGCAGACATTTCCCTTGGATACTGTTGCTGCCTGGGCCCCTCTAGGGCCATTAGAGCAGACCCTGCCTGTCGCCTGCCTGCCTGGGTACCATTTGCCTCCTGGCCCCATCCCTCTTCTGTTCAGTGCAAGGGTTGGCCAAGTGACCCCTAAGGTTTACCTGCCTGCTCCCAAATGCTGCAGTCCTCCTTCCTGGGGACAGTGTCACCCTCCTTAGGGAGGCCACACTGTTATGTCCTGGGCTGTCTCCCGGGAGGGGAAGTATCACATTTACTCCTCTGCCTAATAGAATGATTCTTGTGTTGACAGATTCCTCCTTCTGGATCTTCTTCACCCTGCACAGTCTTCTCCCTGTAGCCTTCTCTCCATCTGGCTCCAGCCTTGTCTCTGAGCCTTGCTTACAGCTACTGTTCCATCCACCTGGTGCCCATAGCCCCTCTCACTGACCAGGCCCCAGACTGTTCCTGCCCCCTGCTCCTCTCCTGTCCCTTGGCTATCAGCTTGGTTATTGAGATAAGGTTTCAAAGCAGGGGGCTTGTTCCCAGCTCCTGCTGCCCCAGGCGTCTCCTTTACTGCTGAAGGGCCATTGGTGTAAGCTGGGCTACTTGCGCTCTCCTGCTCGTGCTGTTTCTGTGTTGAGTGTGAACTGATGGTCCCTCCTTCTGCAGAGTGGTGGCTTGTCTGTGCCCTGCATTGGTTCTCCTGTCATGTGGTGCCTTGTGGTGTGTGGCATTCTCGGGCTGACTGAGGGTGCAGTCGCTCATCCTGTTGTTTTTGCTGTGAATGCTTCAGGACGGTGGGTCTAGTGCTCTCGCCCTTGAGGAGCCGGCAGGTAGCCATCGCTCAGGTCCTTCAGCCTCCAGCTTTGCGCGTGTGAGACACAGAGCGCCCTGTGCTGATTGCTGCCCTGTGCTTTCCCACAGGCCCAAGAAGCTTCGCTTCCACCCAAAGCAGCTGTACTTCTCCGCCAGGCAAGGGGAGCTTCAGAAGGTGCTCCTCATGCTGGGTAAGTGCATCCCTGTGTCTGGGGCTGCCACAGGGCTCGACCTCATGGGCACCGCAAGGAGCAGGAGGTGCTCAGTCACCCCTTTAACCACGAGGCCGGTCTCATTTTGTTTTTCTGTTTACATGTCTCTGACGTCCCTGGTCAGTGAAAACAGGTTGCCCACTGGTGTTCAGCCTGTCTGTGATGTTCATTACAGTTACTCATGTTGCTAGAAGTGTTTCCCATGAATTTCTAATTTTAAAAAGGAATTGAATATGAGATTATTAAAACAGGCAGACATGTAGATGCAGAAAAAGCAGAATTAGCGAGAGACCCGTGTGGTAGGCAGTGACGATGAGGAGCAGTCCCTGTGTGGACGCAGCGTAATGCAGGTGGAGGTGGAGCTCGTGTTGGCAGCGTGTGTGTGTGTGTGTGTGTGTGTGTGTGTGTGTGTGTGTGTGTGTGTGTGTGTGTGTGTGTGTGCGCGCCAGATAAACCCATTGGCTTCGGTTTCTGATACCCTAAAACGTGTATTGTTCTAGGCTTGATTTCCCTGAAGTTCATCTTCTCTGGGTTGAGACAGGTAATTAAGAAACCCTTTACTTGACATTAAATCATGAAAGAAGCTAAACACGTTGCTCTAAAAAAAGGGTTTATTTAATGTTGACCAAAATGGCAGTGTTAATCATTTTTTTCATAGACTTCATACCATGCCAAGATTGTTTCACTGCAGCACATCCATTCTGGCCTCCTGGGAGTGGACAGATGTCCACGTCATCCATCTCAGGGCCTTCCTCCCACTCCTTCAGAATATGTCTGCCCGTGGCTGTGTACTCGCGGGGCCTGGGAGCGACAAGACAAGGAATGAACAAAAACACAGAAAGAACCCCAGAGTTAGAGAGGGGCAGTAAGAGATAGAACATGTGGGGTTAGGTTATTTGCCTGCTGAATGTCGTATGAAATAGTCTGCTTCCTCTCAGATTTTCCCAGTGGATGTGGGGCCTGGTTTCCCTACCCAGACACGGGACGGTGCTATGTGGTGGCTGCAGAGCTTGCTGCTTATCTTGAAGCTGGTTGTTGCTGTGTGTCTTTGCCAACCTCTGTGACCGTCTGAAGGGCTGGCAGTGGCTGCCTCTGCAGTAACCAGTGAAACCATGTTTGTTCACAGTTGATGGAATCGACCCCAACTTCAAAATGGAGCACCAGAGCAAGCGCTCGCCCTTGCACGCCGCGGCGGAGGCTGGCCACGTGGACATCTGCCACATGCTGGTTCAGGTTCCAGAGCTTTCACCTGCTCTCTTATTTTTGTCAAAGTAAAATAATACTGGGTTCATAGTTCCTACAGTTAGACAGTCAAATAGTGCTGTGAGGCTGAAACAGAAAGTCAGCATTTCTGTCCCTCCCAGGCCCGCAGCCACAGTCAGTGCCTCTAGCCATGTCTTCTGGCATTTACCACCATGTTCTAAGATAACGTGTTGTTTACATGGCTCTTTCTTGATTTTTTTTTTTTTTTAGTTTGAGTTTTGTTTTTAATTTTTTTTTTTTTTCCTTTTTGTCTTTTTTCGTGACTGGCAACGGATCGCAACCCTCAGTGTCGCGCCCATACCGGACCGGGACCGGCAACGGGATTGCAACCCTCGGTGTTGCTCCCACACCTTGCTCAGCCAGTGAGCGGCCGGTCTGTATGTGGGATCCGAACCCTCGGCGGGAGCGCCGCCGCGCTCTCAAGCGGCGCACTGTAGCAGTGCGCCACCAGGCCGGCCCTGAGTTTTGTTTTTAATTTTTAATATTTACTGATTTCTGCTGCGGAAGAGGAGAGTTTAGCATAAGCACAGACACATCCCTTTCCCCCAACTCTCATTGTTTGGTTATATCACCCATTTTGTTAAAATCAGGATTCAGAATTTGTGTTATGTGATCATGTAAATTCTTTTTAAGCTCAGCTGTTTTATCTATGCTGCTGCATATTTTGCCTGTGGTTAATAATTGTTTTGTGTTTCTAGTGGTTGAGTTGACTCTGTTCCTGCCAGGTTATTCCTGGCCGTCTGACCAGACTGTGGTGCTGCCTCTGTTCAGACACATGGGTGCTGTGGTCGCCCCCGAGGCGTCCCTTCCCTGACCCCTGTTAGGTCTCCTTTTTCTTGGATGCCACATTTTAAGTCTCAGGCAGTCTGTTGATTCTTCATATGTGACCTATTATTTCTGGTAGCTTCAGGGACTTTTCTTTAACCCCAGTGGCCTAAAGTTTCACCTCACTGTAGCGTAGGGTCTTTATTGATTCATTGGGGTGTTGGGTGAGCCCTTTCAATGTTAAGTCCATGCCCTTCAGTTCTGGGAGGCTTTCCTGGATGATTCCTGTCAAGTGTCTTTCCGGTTGCCCAGCACTCCCCTGCTGGGGCCTTCTGGACCCACTTCTACTGCTGCGGTTTGTCTCCTCATTGCTTGGTCCTTTCTTCTGGGCACTCTTCTCAACTTTAGCTTCCAGCTTCTGTGCCTGCTCTCTGATTGTTCCTTTTTTTAAAGCCCCCTGTTCTTTCCTTATTTCTCTGAAGATATTACTTATAGTTATTTTGAAGTTTTTTGCTGCTCTGTTTTAGTCTGTCTTTCTTGTTTAAAGATGTTCCTTAAGTGCCTGGTACTTGATTTAAAAAAACTCAGTCTAAACGTCTTGGTGTTTTAATAGGAGCCTTTTGTCCAGTTATACTTACTGTAATTTCTGACACATTTTAATTTATATCTAATGTCTTGTATTGTACTTTTAATTCCCAGCCTTTTGAAACAAATACAGTTGACCATTGAACCATGTGGTTAGGGGCTCTAGTCCCCTTCACCCCTTCCCAGTAAGCAGTCAAAAAGCCAAGTATGACTTTTGTTGTTTGTTTTTTAAAACAGTAAACACAATATATTTATGTGCAAAACACAAGAGAAAACATATTTGATAGGTGAATCCACAAGTGTGCAAACATACAGGAAAAGTTTAAGAAAGGTACAAGGTAATCCTGGAGAAAGATAAGGGAGATTTCCATGTTGGAACATTTCTGGATCACCTGAGGTTTTTTTACATTCTTTTGGTATTTGGCTTCTGGTGTCCACGTGGCATCCCTTCACTTGCCCACAAAGAAGTCCTGAAAGATGATGTCAGAATCTCCTCAGTGCCCCCTCTACCTGTGAGGTGGGTGAGATGCCCTTTGGTGACCTGCAGTGCCTTGGCTGCTAGGACCAGGTCTTTTGACTGCATGTATCAGCCAAGAGTGTCCAGGCAGCCCTGAGGTGATGCTGGTACCTGCATGTGTCAGAGTGGCAGGCCTCTGGATTGTCCCCACACTGCAGGCAGGTCCTTCCTCAGCACCTCCAGGAGACTACCCTGGTCAGGCAGGACAGCAGCAAGTGTGGGGAGGTCAGGACCAGGGCCTGGGCCCTTGGGCAGCAGGAGGCGCTGGGGCTCCAGCTGGTGCTCCGGGATACAACGGGGGCTACAACTTTGTCCCTCTGTTGGATGGAAAGGCCCGATCAGAGGCATCCAACACAGACAGATGAGATAGCCTGCTCCATCCTCTTGTGGGCAGCAGACACTCTCCTGTTCCCTGGGCCCCATGCCCTCTAGCAGCGCTGCCGTGTCACTCAGCAGCACAGGAAACCCAGCCAGGTCCAGGCGGTCTTTAGTATGTCACAGTGGTCCCTGGCTCCAGGGACATGATGGAGGCTGGCTTCCGGCTGAGCAGGTTCAGCAGGCTGATCTTGCCTGTGTTGGGGGGTCCAGTGCCCACACTTTGCTGTCTGCTTGTTGCAGGAGACCCTCCTCCAGGTGTCATCCTTGGCAAAGTTAATACAGGCCTCAGCATTGGGCCAGAGCCTTGGTGAGGGTCTCAGCCCAGTTCTTCATCTAGCTTCCTCAGGGCCTGCTGCTGCTGCACCTCGGTTTCCACATGCATCAGACCCACCAGCCTCTCTACCTTGCTCAGCTTCCCAGGGTGAATGCCCACCTGGTGAACTCACCTGCCTCTACAGCCAAGGCCCTGTCACAGGGTCTGCAGGGTGCCACTCACCACAGCCAGGCCTCCCTGCACTTGGAAGTCCACGCAGTCCTCACCCTGTTACTTTGGGGATCTGGGAACCAGAGCACTAGTGTGTTGTCCAGCAGTTCCCTGCAGTGGAGGTTGCTGAGCTGGTGCAGGCTGGTGCTGCTGGCCAGGGGCAGGTTTAGGAGGGTGTTGCTGCTGGTCTGGATATCAGCATTGTTACAGGGCGTTGTCCTGAGATTAGCATGAAGACGGAGGCCCCAGGATGAGGGTCACAGGTACCGTTGCTCTGACATGGTCTGTGAGGCCCACCTCAGCCCCAGCCACCAGGGTCCACAGCCCCTGCCACATGGATTTACAGCCTGCAACCCGCCTACCCGACCGCCTAAAGATAACTTTTGACACCTCAAAGCTTTACTAATAACATAAGCAGCCAGTTGTGTGTGTTATATTCTGTTTGTACAATAAAGTAAGCTAGAGAAAAGAAATCTCCAACAAGTGGACCCGTGCAGCTCAACCCACTGTTGTTCAAAGGTCAGCTGTGTCTCTTTTTCTATTTAATTGTTGTAGTTTTTTCCTATTAGTTTGGAAGCTACATACTTTCTCCTTTTTGCCTCAGTGGTCTCTCTGAGTCCAGCAGACAGTCTTCACCTAGGAGTAAGTTGAGGCTGACAAGCCATCAGGGCCAGTCGTGCCCTGGCAGAGGCACTTGTGAAGGGAGGACACGTGTGGGCAGTGAGCGGCCTGTGGAGAGCCTGAGAGCGTTGAGAGGAGCGTGAAAAGGGATTCGGGAAGGGTGGGCTGGGGGAGTGGTCACCTTGAGGTGAGTGGTTGACGGGGCCGGGGAGGTCAAGGGGCCCGCGGCCAGGGTGTCGGTGGGGCTGCTCCGAGGACTGGAGGCATCAGGTGTGGTGTGCTCAGGGGGTTCTAGGAGGAGGGAGAGGGTGGTCCAGAAAAGGGGACCACAGTCTCGCAGGAAGAGCCCTCCCATTCTTGAGAGGTCATGAAGGGTAAGGTGGTGGCTGGCATTCTGTGAGGATGGAGCTGGGGTCTGGACGGGCAGGGCTGGGCGTGGAGTCTGCTGAGGTCTCTGCGCTCTTGCCTCAGGGTGTGGAGGCTTCTCGACATGTTCTTCCTGGGCCTTGGGTTCTCATTTGGATCCTCAGTCACTGGCGTTTCTTTCTCAGTCCACTGGAGGGACGACACTTCCACTGTCTTCACTGCCTCCCTGTCTCTGACTCCTTCTGAGAAGTTAGCATGTTACTCCTTTGAAAGGCAGTGTTTTCTCTTTGGCTTTTTAAAAAACATTAAATATAAATAAATTATGTGTGTGTGTGCATGTTATGCATACAGGAAAGTCTGTAAAACATAAACATCCTGGCTAGCTGACCCGGGGTCCAGGCGCAGTGCTGCCGCCCAGCCCAGCAAGCCCTGCTCGGATCCCTGTGAGTGTCCTCCAGCAGTGCGGCTCGGTTATGTCTGCTTCGAACCTTAATGGTCATTGAGTCACACAGTGTGAATCTTTTTGTGTCTGGCTTCTTTTAGTCAAAAAACTAAAACCCAAAAAACAAGTGAATGCAGGCAGGAACTGCAGTGGTCCAGGTGGGTCTTAGGTCTCATCCTGCTGCTCGTGCCTGGAGAGGCGTGAGGGGGCAGTGTGGGAGCTCTGCTCACCTTCTGTTTTCACAATTTCGGTGTCTTCACAGTGTTACACCCTGGAGGGGCCCCCGTATAGAGGAGTTCTTCATGCTCCCCTGTGTTGGCGTCTGACCGGCCTGGACCGCCTTCAGACCCTCAGCCTGCTGCTTCATATGACGATTTGGGCTGCAGAGCTTACTGCTGCCGATCTTAGAGGGGCTTATTTTTGTAAAATAAGCCTCAGAACCTAAGCAGTTTTTCTGCGAGTCCTCAGAAAAAGTGGCACGGGCTTATTTCTAGTCTGCCCTGAACCCAAGGGTGTTGTTTCTCAGGGTTTGTTCAGCATTGGTGGTTGTGGAGCGCACCCTCACATCTCACACCCCTGTCCCTGCGCAAGCTCCAGCTAGAAGCCACCAAGGAATGCTGGCGTGGAGGACTAGTGTCCACGCTGGCTGAGCTCTCTGGGCTCCTGTCTTTATTTGGCTTTGAACTGCATGTCTTGTAGCAGCATGGGAGCGCCTCTAGGTGCTTTTGATATTTATCTGTCCTCCTTTGTTTTCATCACGTGGGTCTCACTGGGACCAGAGTGCTCTCGTCTTGTTCAAGTCCCCCTGCAGCATGTGGCTGTCTCACTTGTGAAAGGGAGGAGGTGCTCCTGCGTCACTTGGGCTGCACCTGAGCGCTTGGTGGCCACGTGGGCAGGGAAGGAGATCAATCCAGAAAGCGTTTGGCTCTGGGCTGGAGAGGGGCTCTGAAGTCCAGTCTCTCAGCATCCTTGCTGTCCGCCAGCCTCGTGAACCCCTAGGGCTTCTTCCTGCCAATGTGGGTTTTTGTTTTTCCAGCCTGCTCAGTCAGGGGCCGTGTCATCTGTGCCCTGTGGTGCTCCGCGTGCCTGCGGTTTCTGGGGAGCACCAGGCGGCGCACTACGCTCTCCCTCTGAGCGGTTGTCGCGGGTGCTCATTTCTCTCGCCCGTCTGCTCCTCCCTCACCTCTCACTTCTAGAAGACAGGGCTCGCCCTCAGTGGCCCGTGTGGGGAGAGTGCAAGGCCAGAAGGAGAAGATGTGTGTCCTGCAGGTCACAGCATGGGCTGCCCCGGGGCCTGATCAGTGCCGCGCTCCTCACAGGGTCTTGGATGCATCTGCCTCAGTCCCGCTTGCAACATGGGTGGTGGGACTTGTTACCGAGAATCCGCGTTTCTTTGGGCTGTGCTGTCCTGTCTCTCTGTTTGCAAATCCTGTTAGTTGCCTGGTGGGGTCTCGGTTGATTCTCTCTTCCCTGTGTTCCTCTCTGAGTTTCCAGGTTCTTTTTCTTTTTTTTTTTCCTTTTTGTCTTTTTTTCGTGACCGGCAACGGATGGCAACCTTCAGTGTTGCGCCCGTACCGGACCGGGACCGGCAACGGAATCGCAACCCCCGGTGTCGCGCCGCACCTCGCTCAGCCAGTGAGCGGCCGGTCTGTATGTGGGATCTGAACCCTCGGCGGGAGCGCCGCCGCGCTCCCAAGCGGCGCACTGTAGCAGTGCGCCACCGGGCCGGCCCTGAGTTTCCAGGTTCTTAGAGGTTTCTATGACCATGTTCTCCAGGGGGAGGGTCAGAGTCCTCTGGTTCTCTGGGGCCCTGGGTTGCTGTGTGTCTGTGAGGGCCCCTGTGCTGCTCAATGTAGAGCTGGCCACTGGCAGGCACTGGCTGCTGTCAAGCCCAGCCCCTCCACATACCCTGCCCCTGCACGGGCCTTGTTGGCACTGCATGGCCTCACTCCCTTATTTTGTGTGTTTTTTAAGTTTATTTCCTTGTTAAAGTTAGCTCTCAGGTTCGGCAGCCCGACCTCGGCTTTGAACTTCTGTGTTTGAAATCAACCTTGTGTCTTCCACCCCCATTTCCTGCCTTGATGCTCTACTCTTTCTGACCTCTGACCCCTGCTCTGTGAACCTGTGGTCCCCCCCCCCCCCCATAGTACACAGCTCTGAACACAGCCACAAGCCCCTTTCAGAGTCCCCTTGGAAACCTCAGTGTACCTCTCAGTCTTTACTAATCATACCTGGCTTCCCATATATACCATTCTAGGACTGCTTAAAAATTCCTTAGTTAATTGTGTTATTTATTTTTTTTAATTGCTAATAGTAAAAACAGTATTACTTTCAATATCTTTTGAGAGTAAATATTTATTTTATAAACTAAATGTTAACTCTTTGTACATTAGTCTGAGAAGTTAGACCACTTTTCCCCTTGTGGAGAAAAGGTTTCAACTACCAAACAACTGATTTGCTTTTAGCACACAACCAGTTTTAAAGTTGGGGGCTTTCTAAGTTTCAGACAAACAGAAATTTTCTTATGTATACCTGCTATTTCATTAGTTTTTCAAGTTTCTCATCTTATTGGAAAAACTAGAAAACACTCCAAAATACATACTGCTGGAAACTAGTTCTCGTTCAGACAAACAGAAATTTTCTTATGTATACCTGCTATTTCATTAGTTTTTCAAGTTTCTCACCTTATTGGAAAAACTAGAAAACACTCCAAAATACATACTGCTGGAAACTAGTTCTCATTGTGTTTATTTTGGCAAGTATTCAGATAGCTGGAGGAGGCAGCAGGAGCCGTGGGGCAGGTGTCCTGCTGGTGCTGGCAGGGTTGGGCCAGCACCTCCCTCCTGGGCCCCTCTTCACCAAGCAGCCCTCCCTACCTCCGCCTTGTTTGCTTTAGAAGGTCATCACCATCTTTCTTGTTTCTAAAGGTGTTGCTGCACTACTGTGCTGTATGCGTTTTCTATCAAATTAATTTAGAAATGAAATTTAGCCTAAGTATGCTGTTTCAGCTAAAGGCTTGATGGTAATAGAATAATTATGTCTTTGAATATATTTTTGGAAGACTCAAACATAGTTGGTCAATAAAACACTGTTAATGTACCTTGGCAAATCTTTTCTTTTTGAACTGTGGAGGCGGGTAAGTTCATTTCCTCACCAGGTGGTGCTGCAGTGGCAGCTGTCCGTGCACCTGAACTGCTCCTTGTTTTACTAGGCGGGCGCTAACATTGACACCTGCTCGGAAGACCAGAGGACCCCACTGATGGAGGCAGCAGAAAACAACCACCTGGAAGCAGTGAAGTACCTCATCAAGGCTGGGGCACTAGTGGATCCTAAGGTATCATTTTCCTATTTTGTGTGTAGAAGTTTCTCAGAGAGACGAACAGAGGACAGTTTCCTTCTGGGACATCTTCAGGAATTGGTAGCCTACAAACATTTATTTATCCAATAGTCCAGAAGTAGTTACTTCACTTTACTTGGTTACCTGGTTTATTGGTAAAAAACACTCGTGAGCACTAGATCTACGGTGTCTGACAACAGACAGATCAACTAATGGGGAGTTTGCTGCATAGAAGGTTTTAGCTTTGTTCATTCGGAAAACTTTCCCTTTCTGTCTTCCACCCAGAGAAGTTAGGCAAGAGAACAGAAATAAAAGGCATGCACACTGGAAAAGACGAAAAGTTGTTCACAGGTGACACGATCTTATATATAGAAGACTCTAGAGAATCCATAAAAGTATGGTTAGAGCTACTGGACTAATTCAGCAAAGTAGCAGGATACAAAATTGAAACACAAAAATCAATTGTATTTCTGTATATTTGCAATGAACTATCCAAAAAGGAAATTAAGAAAACAATTCCATTTACGATAGCATCAAAAAGAATAAAATACTTAGGGATCAGTTTAACCAAGGAGGCAAAAGACTTGTGCACTGAACATTGCAAAACACTGCTGAAAGAAATTAAAGAAGATCTAAATAAATGGGACAACATTCCATGTTCACAGGTTAGGAGACTTAATTTGAGGGGCCTTCAAAAAGTTCATGGAAAGATTTGTGTTATTTTTAATTCTGTTTTTCCGTGAATTTTTTGAAGTACCCTCTTATAGTTAAAATGACAGTACTACCCAAAGGGATCTACAGATTCCATGCAGTCCTTATCAAAATCCCACAGCTTTTTATACGGTATAGAAAAACCCATCCTAAAGTTCACATAGAATCTCAAGGGACCTGGAATGAACAATTTAGTAAAGAATAAACAAAAGTTGGAGGACTCACACTCCCCGATTTCAAAACGTGCTGTAAAGCTGCAGTAACGAACAGTGCAGTTCTGGAGTGCGGAAGTAGAGACCAGAGGAATAGACTAGAGGGTCCAGAAACAAACCCTGGCATATGTGGTGAGTTGATTTTTGGCAAGGGCACCAAGACCGTCTGACGGGGAAGGGACAGCTTTTTGACAAATGGTGCTGGGAAAACAGGATATGCCCGTGCAAATGAATGAGGTTGGATGCTTACCTTACTCCATATACAGAAATTAACACAAATGGATCAAAGACCTAAATTTAATAGCTGAAACTATAAAACTTTGGGAAAAAAAGTGGGGGAAGAGCTTCATGACATTGGATTTGGGAGCAATTTCTGGGATATGACACCAAAAGCACAGACAATAAAGAAAAAACAGATAAACATCAAAATTAAAAACTTTTATGAATCAAAGGTTACCGTTGAGGGCTGGCCCGGTGGTGCACTGGAGAGTGCGCCACTTGGGAGTGCGGTGGCGCTCCCGCCGAGGGTTCGGATCCCATGTGGAGACCAGTTCCCGCTCACTGGCTGAGCGAGGTGCGGGCGCAACACCGAAGGTTGCGATCACGTTGCTGGTCCCTGGTACGGGCGCGACACCGAGGGTTGCGATCCCGTTAGCGGTCAGAAAAAAAAAAAAAAAAAGACAAAAAGGAAAAAAAAAAAAAAGGTTACCGTTGAGAGTGAAAAGACAACTCACAGAATGAGAGAAAATATTTGCAAATCCTGTTTCTGATAAGGGCTTTCTGTCCAGAATGAACAAAGAACTACAACTGAGCAACAGCGAAAACCACCCGATTCAAAAGTGGGCAAAGGGTTTGAAAGGACATTTCTCCAAAGAAGATATACAAATGGCCAATTAGCATATGAAAAGATGCTTAACATTGTTAACCGTAAGGGAAATGCAAATGAAAACCACAGTTAGATGCTACTTCACACCCTTTAGGATGATGGCTACTATCTAAAAACTGGAAAATGAGTGTTGGTGAGGATGTGGAGAAACCGGAGCCCTTCTGCACTGCCAGTGGGAGTGTAAAATGCAGCAGCCTCTGTGGAGAATGATAGCTAAGCATGGAATTGCCATGTGATCCAGCAGTTCCACTCCTAGGTATATACCCAGAGAAATGAAAAACAGGGGCATGAACAGATCTTTGTACAGCAGTATTTATTGCAGTGTTATTCACTGTAGCTGAAACATGGAAACAACCCAAATGTCCATCAGAGGGTGAACTGGTGAACAGGTGTGGTTCATCCATATGATGGGGGTGGGCTGGCCAGTTGGCTTATTAGTTGGTTAGAATGCAGCCTCATGGGATCCAATCAAGATGGCGGAATAGACAGTCTGCAGCGTCACTCTCCCACAAATCAACCAAATTTACAACTATAAAAATGTAACATCAGCTAAGCTGGGGCCGCTGGAGCTCAGGGGAAGAGGAGGAGAGACCTACGGAGTTCATGAAGGTGGGAGAAACCACGATGAGAGAAGGAAAAAGCTGCTCTGAGCATTTCGGGCCGCGGCTGCTTTAAGGCTCGAGCTGATAAGCAAATGGAGCAGGAGCCAGCAGAAGCCTCAGCTGTGCCCTTCAGATGGAGTCACTAGGAGGCGGCAGGAGAGAAGAGGGCCTTGGCGGCCCCCAGGACAGCAAGACCACTAATAGGGTTCACATGGACCCACACAAGAGCGAGGAGCCAGAACAACTGAAAAAAAGGGAGCCACTCAGAGGCCGGTGAGTCATCGCAAGGGATGGCGCAGGGCCCCTCCCATGGGAAGTGTTTGGAGCAGGGGCGGTCGGTGAGACGTGCCCACCAGGAGAACACTGGGGCACAGCAAGGACAGCCGACCTGCCCCCCAATCAGTGCAGGACCACTCAGAGGAGACTGGTCAGGAATGCAGAATTGCATGGGGTGCAGTTTGATGAAAAGACTCAGGCCCAGATCAGAGATTCTACAGAACACAGATCCACCGGGTCTCTGGAGAGCCGGAAGTACCTATAAGGTCAACCATTAAACCCTGAGCTGCACAAAAAGCCTTCCCTAGGGAAACAGCAGCAAAGTAGCAATTTAAACAATCACACAGCTCAAGTACTGGTTCCCATGGGAAGTTCCCCTGTGTTAGAAGCAAAGCACAAAAAATTAGTTCCAAGCCAGGCACACCACCAGCACCTTGGGGCCTGCCTGGGAACCGGAGGCTTGGATCCGGGGACTGAACCCTACTCCCACTTCCAGGCAAACTGTGCCAGCGCCTCGGGGCCCGCCCAGGCACCCAAGGCACAGAGAAGGGGACTGGACCCCCCTCCCACAACCAGATACGCCATGCCAGCACCTCAGGGCCTGCCTGGGAACCGGACGCTTGGATCTGGGGACCAGACCCCACTCCCACTTCCAGGCAAACTGCTCCAGTGTGTTGGGGCCAGCCTGGGGACCTGAAGCATGGAGAAGGGGACTGGACCCCCCTCCCACAACCAGGCACACCACGCCAGCACCTTGGGGCCTGCCTAGGGACCCAAGGCAAGGAGAAGGGGACTGGACCTCTCTCCCATAACCAGGCACATCAAGCCAGGGCCTTGGGTCCCACCCGGTGACCCGAGGCATGGAGCCAGAAACCAGATCCTCCTCCCACAAGGCACACCACGCCAGTATCTTGGAGCCCACTCAGGGACCCGGGGCATGGAGAAGGGGACTGGACCACCCTCCCACAACCAGTCACAACATGCCAGCACCTCGAAGCCCACCCAGGGACCCAGGGCATGGAGAAGGGGACTGGACCTCTCTCCCACAACCAGGGACACCGTGCCAGCACCTTGGGGCCCACCTGGCCCAGAGGCATGCAGAAGGGAACTGGACCCTCCTCCCACACCAGGCACAAAACGCCAGCACCTCGGGGACCACCTGGGTACCCGAGTCATGGAGAAGGGGACCGGGCCCTCCTCCCACAACCAGGCACACTGCACCAGTACCTTGGGGCCCGCCCAGGGACCTGGGATACAGAGAAGGGGACTGGACCCCTCTTCCACAACCAGGCACATGGCACCCGCACCTTGGGGTCTGCCCAGGGACCAGAGGCATGGAGAAGGGGACCAAACACACCCCACAACCAGGCATACTGCCAGTGCCAAGGAGCATGCCAAAAACAGCACCTCCATGTGGGTGGCCCACTACAGCCACCATAATAACCATGGCTGCTGCAAAAGCGGCTAGACTCCACAGCTACCACGCAGATGGTCTGCCAACCACTGGAGTGCATTGACACAAGAAGGGTCACCAGCACAGACAAAAGAAGAGGATGTCTCATTCCACAAAATCCATTTCAGAGTGACAGAAGAAGCATCTGCTGTATGATAATATTGGGGG